TGCTGCGCACGCGCTCCTCGCGCGGTTTGAGCCGCATCTTTCAATGGCTGATGCACGACGAGTCGAACTACCCTCCGCGCGCGAGTAGACACTGGCGCACGAGATCAGCCACGTGCGTTTCAGCGTCTGGCGTCGCGGCCTCCGCGGCTGCATTCTACAGGCGCGCCGGGATGCGCGCTGGCAGCGCTTGGCGCCCCAGGTCGGCGCCGGGCAGATGCGCCAACTGTTGGGCTGGAGGGATCGCCCAGTGCACTGGGCGAAGAAGGAGCTCTGACGGGGGCGAACTGATGAGAGCGGCAACCGCGCGGGGACTGCCGGCTCAGACGCTTCGTCTACTGTTTTGTTTTCGCCGTGCACTGCGAGACGCCGGCCATCTCCTCTGGCGGCAGGCCCAGAGTGCACTGCCAGTCGGCCCTGGCAGAGCGCGGCGCCGAGAAGGCTTCACACTTCATTTGCCCACCGTGGCACTTCGGGCGTACGGTTGTTCGGCACTGTGCGCCGCGAAATCCCGATGGCGCGGCGCTCCAAAAGGCGCGCTTCAACCGCCACGGCGCCCGCGCGCCCGCCTGCGCGAGTCGATCGCAGTATCGATGTCACTATCGATCCCACCTTTGATCTCACGATCGATCTCGCTATCGATCCCACTATCGATCTCTCAACCAATCTTACGAGACACCATCGGGGCACCAATCTGCAGCGCCCTCGGCCACGGCAGGGCATCCCCAGCCAATGATCTGCTGTGATCGATCTCGCTATCGGTCTCCCGACTTCACTATCGATCAAGCAACCGATCCCGCTATCGATTTCACGGTCGTCCTCACAACAGATCTCACGAGCTACCCTGACACCCTGGACGCCCCGCGCCACCGATGGGCCACCCCTGCGCTACCGTCGGGGTTCCCCCGACCAGGCCACTGGTGGGAACCTGTCCGCTCCCATGCGATCTCACCCCGTCGCCGAGCCTTCGTTGCAAGGCGCCTGGGACATCGCGTTGGCATCGCCGGGACGTCTCGCTGTTGATATCCCTGTCGGCGTCGCTGTCGATCCCACCATCGATCTCAATATCGATATCACGATCGACTTCAGTATTGACCCCACTATGGATCTCACTATTGATCTCACGATTGATCTCACGATCGGCCCCACAATCATTCTCACGATCGATCCCACGACAGATTTTTAGCAGATCTCACTAACGAGATCACATCGAGTGGCGTTCAGTACGATCGAGACACCAGCAGGACAATATCGCGACGCCATCGGAACACCATCGGGCCAAATAAATGCAACCACAACGGCCAGTTCGGTCCCGAGCTTCGTCGGGCCATTCTGGAAGGCAATTGGCATTGGCGGCGACGACGTTAGCAGTGATGAGCCGCATTCCTTCTACCTGCAAGCCCGGTCGCGCGGAAGCTGGCGGCTCAAGGCCCGACAGAGCCCGGCGCTGCCGAGTCAAAGAGCTCGGCAGAACCCGCGCCGAATGAAGCACTCCTGCTGCTCCTCTGCCCCCGCGCCCAGCCATGCCAGGCGCGACGCGCGGCGGCGCCGAGCGCCGCGCGGCACTTTCGCCCGGGCAAGCGGAATCGCGCGCCTCCCGACCGCGTGGCGCCACGGCCGGTCGCCCGCAGGCGAAGTCGCAAGCCCCCCGGGCCGACGGCGGCGCCCGACGTTCTGGCGGAGCCTGGCGCCGCGACCTGCGATCGCGCCCGCTCGAGGCGCACTCGCGCCGCTGCTTGGCGCGCGCCGGAGCGGCGGCTTCGAGCAGGCCGCGCTGCCGGGCGAGGGGGCGAGAAGGAAGGGGGACAGGACTGGACTGGGGGAGGAGAGGAGGTGGGCAGAGGAGGAGGGGGGGGGAGGGCACAGGCCTCCCAGTTCGGGCCCGCCGTCGCTGCCGATCGCGGCCCCACCCTCTCGCCGTTGGCGGGCTGGCCGCCGCGCCCCTGGGACCCATCCGCCGCTGCTGCGCGCCGCGCCCCCCTGCGCGCTGGCACGGCTTCCTGCGCGCAGGGCCCGGCAGCGCGCGGGCCCGCCGCGGCGCCGACGCAGCCGGCGCGCGGCGCACGACGGCGCCGCCCGCCGCTCCGTGCGCCGACCGCCTCCGCCGCGCCCCCCCTCGCCGCGCTCCTCGCTCGCCGCGGCCGGGCCCTCGCCCCCCTCCCCCGGCGCTCCTCGGCGGGCCACGCCGCGCGGAGCGGCTCCTCCGGCATCGGAGCGCGCAGGCCCCGGCGCCCCTGGCCACTGGCAGCTCGGCGCGCAGCGGCTCTCGCTCGGCCGGGTTGGCGCGCAGAGGTGCTCGCCCGACGACGCGCCAGCGCCCGCGGAGCCTCCTGCTGCCGGGGCATCCGGCGCCAGCGCCCTCGAGTCCATGCGCCACTGCGGCGCCCTCCTCTCCCGGGCGCGTTTGCCCACCTCTGGCCCCCCCGGGGGCCTGGCGCGAGGGGCCCAGCACAGCGCCCCGCCGTCGCCCCGGAGGCAGCGTCGCCGCTGGGGCGCGGCCGCGAAGGTCATGAGACCTGGACATCGCCGCACGCGAACCTCTGGATCTGCCACCCGCCCCTGCACGC